CCTACCGTACGACTAACGTACGTACTTAGTTAAGTAACGGGACCCCGGTACCCCGTCGTTCGTTCTACTCTACTTATTTACTTCGTCAGACGACACTCTCTCTCTCTCTCTCTCTCTCTCTCTCTCTCTCTCTCTCCTCTTTCTCTTCTCCACGCCATACTGTCTCTGTCTCTCTCTCTTACTCTAGCCACTTCTATCTTAGGATAGGTGACACCCCACCTAGTAAGGCAGGGCCACAAGAGGGTGGCATGCCTCCCTGGCTAGCCTGAGAGGAGGCATGCCCAGCCCAGTTTTTTGTGGTGGTTCAGTTCTAAGGGTTGAAAAGAAACCCTAGTTTGTTCATGCGCTCAGCTACGTTGTTGTGAGAGTGTATTGACATAGGTGCTCAGATATGGAGGACTTCAAGCAAGGCCAAGGATTGCACCATCAGTCTGGTATTCGGGTGTGAGTTGTGCTACATTCTGCGGGGTGACTAGGGAAAGTTTAGATAAGTCTTCCCAGCTTTTTCTTATTCATTTTCATTTAATTCTCACTTTATTGTTCTTGATATCTATTGGTATTCAGATTTCTATTTGAATTAGACTTGTACTTGTAATTAAATTTAATTTGAGTATTTTGTTTTTCTTTGTTAAGGCAGTAAGAGTCAAGATCCATATTTAGATTTTATTTTCAGCTTCCGCTGTATATTTTGGCATTGTAAGTAGAATTACCCTAATGTTAATAAAAGAAAAAGAATAATTTTGAATTTACACCCTGGATTACCCTAAAACAAAATTGCACCCCGGAAATCCTACATAGCAACTACTTTCAAATGCCTCATCAATTTACATTTATTATTCACTGTTCATCAATTTTGGATGCCACTAACCATGCTCCATGGGTTTCTTATGAAGAAAATGTGCAACTTCTCTTTTGGTAATCATCGTTCAGAAGTTTTCTTTGATCGATCAAGGGAATCATGAAAATTCTTTGATCTTCTTATGCGGTGATTATCGCTTGTAGGTTTCAGGAAAGCCAATAAAGCTTGTAGGGCGTGGTGAGCGTATGGAAGACCTCGAGCCTTTCTACCCTGATCGGATGGCTGGGCGTATATTAGGAATGGGAGATGTTCTGTCATTCGTAGAAAAAGCACAAGAAGTTGTCAGTTACTCTTTCATTTTCGTTTTTTTTTCCTTGTCTTTTTGGGTAGTTAGCAGTAGCATTTGAACTTGGGATCAGTGTTGCAATCACCAATCTCTTAACTTATAAGCCAAAACTAAATCCTTATTTTAAATTTTTGTCTTTTCAAAAGGAGTAATGATTTTGAATTATGTTTGTAGATGAGACAAGAAGATGCTGAGGAATTGCAGAAGAAGATAATGAGTGCAAAATTTGATTTTAATGACTTCTTAAAGCAAACTCGTGCTGTTGCCCAAATGGGTTCGATGACCCGTGTCATTGGAATGATTCCAGGCATGGCAAAGGTATCATAATATGAAGATTTTGAGGTTCAATTTAATACCTAATGTGAGATTATTTGTTCTATTGAATTGTTTAGTATGTCCCTTTCTTGACCAAGATATTAGCTCTCTCTTTCTCTCTCATATCTTCTGTTAGATAAGTAATTCTTGACATTCTTGTAATGGGAACAGGTAACCCCTGCACAAATTCGTGAGGCAGAGAAAAGCTTAAAAATAATGGAGGCCATGATTAATGCCATGACACCTGGTTTGTTTCACATCAGTATCATACTACAGTATCTTGTGTTTACTTAGTATTGCTCAATGCCTGCTCTGGTTTTGACATAATTTTCTAGAAGACTAATTTTCTAAAAGACTTTGTAAGATTGCATTGCATTGCATGACACTCATACTGTCCAATCATTCGTAAACATGCCAGTCCAATCATTCGTAAAAATGCAATATAATGCATGCGTGCTGCCATTTAGGCGTTACCTGTTGAAGTTTCCAACCAAATGCAAGGTTTCAAGGTTTCTTTTTTTTGAGTATGGTAGCCATTGCCAGTTTGGGATCTTAGTGAATTGGCCCACGATGCCCCCCCGCCCCCCCCCCCCCCCCGCACCCCTCCCCTGCCCTGCAAGTCAGTTTGTCAATTTTTTCAATTGTTAAACTTCAGGGCATTCAATTTGATCTGTTTTTTGTGCATGTGATTGCATTTGTTCCATTTGACCATTTAATTGTTTCCTTTTCATACCAAACTTGCAGAGGAAAGAGAGAAACCTGAATTGCTGGCAGAATCCCCTGCTAGGAGAAAGAGAGTTGCGATGGATTCTGGGAAGACTGAACAGCAGGCATGTGCCCTGTCAATTGCTTCTGTTTTTTTATTTTTTGTTTCTACAAGCGAAGTGAGAAAGAGCTAAGCTTGAGGTTTAACCAAGACAAGGTAATTAAATGTTTGATTTGTGTGATGGTAACAGGTAAGCCAACTTGTTGCTCAACTCTTCCAAATGCGTGTACGCATGAAAAACTTGCTTGGAGCCGTGGAGGGGGGGTCTATTCCTGCACTAAGCAATCTTGAGGAATCACTCAAAGCAGAACGAAAGGTTCCTCTCTCTCTCTCCCTAGTAACAGCTGTATGCATACATATGTACATGCATGTAATCATGGCCACATGTGTACATGTTTGTGTATGCATATAGACAAAAAAAACATACATCCGACAATTTCATGCACGTGGTATATGCATGCACAAGCTTGCAATAATACATACATACATGTATGTGTACATACACGTTTGTAGGTGTGTATGCATGTCTGTAAATCACACAAATGCATAGGAACATGCACATAAATTCGTGAATATTAGGAAATGTGCCTACACAGATATGTCATATGTGCGCCTTGAAGCACGCACATGCATGTAATACATGATAACACATTCATGCATTCATGTATACACCCATGTGCAAATATGCTTGATTTCCATAGTACAAATAGAGTACAATATGAATGTAAAGATGCTTGCTGTTCTTATTGTCAAATGTTGGTTTGATGAACTTATAATTCTTTTATTTTATTACTTATTAAATTGGTTAGGTGCCTCCTGGCACTGCACGAAGGAGAAGGAACAAATCAGAAACAAGGAGACAATTTGCCGATTCAGCTTCAGTGAGACCTGGCCCTAGGGGATTTGGTTCAAAAACTTGATGTTTTCTTTTCCCTTTTCTTTTTTTCCTGCTTAAACGTGAGCTTTTATTTGAGTAATTTCTTGATTTTATAACTTTTTAAGTTTCAATGACTTTCTCAAAGTCTTGTTTTGATTCAAAATTTAGACTCTTGTAGTTGTAAATTATCATACCTAACTCTCTGTCTCAACATGTAACTAGGACACATCCAATGGTTCTTGTTGCATTGACATGCGGAAGATAAGACATGCTTATCTGAGATTTAGAAAAACATGTTCTTGATGTTTTCTTCGTGGAATGCAACCACTAAAAAAGGTATTTGAAAGTTGCTTAATTTCTTCTCGCCCTCTTACATGTTCCCTTTGGGGGATTTTACTAAGACATCGACTATATTGCGTAGAACCCCAATTCTGTTGATTTTATGCTGATATGCGTCTTGGGATTATTAAAAAATGGGTGGGGTTTGTTTAAGGCTGAGGCTCTAAACAATCAAAGTAAAGCACACCTTTAAATAGTATCGAAAGATGTTATTTCAGTGCTGGAAATTTTTGTGATGGTTTGAAAATTTATTTATGTAAAGCTTAAAAAATAGTGTAGATTGAGCAAATTTATAAACACTTGATAATATTGAAAATTGATGGCTCCACAAAATACATTAGAAGCTGTACTATCTTCAATACTTGAAATTCATATTATTTATATAGAAAAAGATTTCTTAAGCTACTAGCTCTCAGCCTTCATATCTTCATCGAGTGGTTCAAAATTCAGATTAAGATGAAATTTTGGGTGTATATACTTAACACTATTGCACACCATATGAAAATATAGAACAATTATTTTCAATTATTGAAAGTGATCAAATTACCTTGTTATTTTTCACGGGTATTTTGGTTATTTTATATTTTAAAAAATATTTGTGTTATATTTTTTATTGCGCATTCTATTTTTTGAGTATACACGTCCAAAAGTTCATTACGATTTGATTTCTAAAAAAAAGATTAAAAGTAAGATGGTAATATGAATTTTAAACCTCTCAATGAAGATTTGACGGTTGGGAGTTAGTAGTATATATATACTTAAATATATTGGTATATAGTTCACAGTTGTCTATCTTTATTGGGTCGTTCAAAATTCATATTACTATCTAAATTTTAATTTTAATTTTTTTAAAAATCAGATTGTAATGAAATTTTGGATGTATATTAAAAAATAAAGCACAATAAAAAATATAAAAAATATTTTTTAAAATATAAAATGATCGAAATACTTTTAAAATGATAGGGGTAATTTGGTCATTTCAAATTATTGAAAGTAATTGTTTTACATTTTTATGTGGTGTGCAATTGTGTTAGGTATAAATACTCAAAATTTTATCTTAATCTGATTTACAAAAAAAAGATTAAAATAAAAATAGTGAAATAAATTTTGAATCATGCAATGAAGATTTGACAGTAGGGAGTTAGTAGTTTATATTATTCATTATAACTAGTAATTTAGAAAATCAATTTTCATATATATATAAAAAAGATTGGAAACGCCTTGTCGCATATGGGTAAGGGGGACGCCATATGTATCAATTTTGAATCCCATAACCACGGCTGGTATGCTGAGGAAGGGGAGAGAGATGTACGCAGGGTGGGAGAGGAAGCAAGGACGAGTTTGGAGAAACCCATTTTAAAATGGGAAAGAGAGAGATGAGGGAGAGATGCACGGAGTGTTCTGGCTCCTCTGCAAAGTGTCGGAGTAAATTAATTTGCAAACCGGAGAGAGAGCCAAGAGAAAAGTAACACAGGCCGTGGGATATGGGATTGAAAATCGAGGCCGTTGGCATTCCTCTTAGCTCATACGCAAGAGGGCGTTTTCAATTTTTTTCCATATATATATATATATATATATATATATATAAATAAATAAAAGGTATGCGTTTGGTGCCGTAAAGCCTTGCATTAATATGAAAATCTATAAGTTTTCTCAATTATGAAATTTAAAGTTCAAAAAATGATGACGATCGAGCAGAGCTATAAGCACTTGAAATTCTTGAAAACAGACGGTTTAGATCAAAATAATAACCCTGCTTGAAATAATCAAAATAAAAGAAAGGACTTGATCTACGTAGTTTTAGAATCAATAGTTGCCGATCATGACCTAAGAAATTGGTGGGTCGACTCAGCCTCCATTCGACATGTCTCGAGGGCCAAGAACGGATTTACAAAGTTGAAGAAGATTGCAGCCGGTAACCAACGGATTTATATGGGAAATGACACCTACTGTGATGTACAAGGTGTTGGTACTTTCAAGCTATCTTTACCAGGAGGAACAAATCTCTTATTAACTGATACATTGAATGCGTCCAAGGTGATGCGCAATTTGATTTCTGTCCTTAAGCTAGACGACAAGGATCATGTAAGGTTCAGGTCTGGTTGGGTCACCATTGGGAAGCATTCTAGAGCATTAGTGTGCGGTATTAAAGTTGACAATTTATACCGATTGAATATTAATGAAAGTTCATCTCTTTCTGGTTATTCTGATTCCTCTTTTGATTCTTTTGGGTGTGTGGATGATTCATATTTATGATACTTAAAATTAGGATATATAAAAAAAAGATAAAATGAATCACATGGTTAAAAGAGGCTTGTTCCCCAATTTAAGAGAAACTATGTTCAAAACATACGAGCCATATATTTCTGACAACTTAACTAAGAAGTCTTTCCCTAAATGGAAAAGGTCTAGTGAACTATTTAGTATTGTTCACTCTGATATATGTGGCCCATTAAATGTAAAAACACATAGAGGTATGCAATATTTCATAACATTTATAGATGATTATTCACGTTATGGATATGTATACCTAATTAGTAAAAAATCATGTGCCTTAGAAACATTTAAAGAATATAAAGCTAAGGTAGAAAATGAGTTAGTTGGACATATTAAAATTCTTCAAACAGATAGAGGAGGTGAATATTGCTCCACCTTATTTATCGAATTTTATAAGGAGCATGGTATAATTCACCAAACAACAATATCATATACCCCACAACAAAATGGTGTAGCCGAAAGAAGAAATAGAACTCTAATGGACATGATTAGGTCTATGATGAGCCATTCAAACCTACCACCTATTTTTTGGAGTGAGGCTCTCAACACTGCAATGTATATTATTAATCGTGTTCCAATAAAATCTATAGACTTGAACCCATATGAATTATGGACAAGTAAGAAACCTGACCTTACTATCTTGAAAGTTTAGGGTTCTTGGGCAAATGTACTTATACCACTACAAAATAAGGATAAATTACAAAGTAAAACTATAAAATGTTCATTCATAGGTTATTCAGAAAATTCTAAGGGTTATAGATTCTATAACCATGAGACTAAATCCTTAGTAAAGAGCCATGATGCCCATTTCTTAAAAAATATAGATAATGGAAATATATTAAGTAAGCCTATTGACTTATACGAAATTGATAAAGATAAGGGTCTCCAAGAACCTATTTATCAGTCTCCTCTACATTTTATGAGAATAATTCAATTGAATCAAATAGGCCTAAAAGAACTAGAGCATCACCTATGACTTTAGAATAATTTTATGTATTTATGAATGAACATAATTATTCTTCAATGAGTGGGGATTCAATAGATGAACCTCAAAACTACAGTGAAGCTACTAGCTCGCATGACTCAGCTAAGTTGACTCAAACCATACATGATATACTTGATTATACTAAAAGAAATCAAGTTTGGGAGTTGGTTGACCTCCCTAAAGATAGAAAATCCATTGGTTGCAAATGGGTCCTAAAGAAAAAGCTTAATGCAAGTGAATCCATTGATAAATATAAAGCTAGGTTGGTAGCAAAAGGATTTACCCAAAGGGAGGGTATAGATTATATAGAGACTTATTCTCCAACAGAAAAATTTTCATCTATTAGGATCATCCTAGCATTAGTCGCATACTATGATTTAGAATTATTTCAGATGGATGTCAAAACAACTTTCTTAAATAGAGAATTAAAATAAGATATATAGATGAAACAACCAGAAGGATATGTAATTAAAGATCAAGAAGACAAAGTATACAAGCCTAAGAAATCTTTATATGATCTAAAACATTCTTCTAGGCAGTGGTACATTACTTTTCATAATGCAATCACTAAAATTGGTTATGTAGCCAATAGGTTAGACCATTGTGTATGTCTGGAATAGTGGGAGCAATTTTGTTATAATGTCACTATATGTAGATGATATTTTGATACCTGTGAATGATATTGGCATGATTAACCATACCAAATCATGGCTAAATTCCTATTTTGATATGAAAGATATGGGAGAAGCCTCATATATATTGGCCATTAAAATAACAAAAGATTGAAGTTCGAGACTTCTATGTTTATCTCAAAAAAATTATTTAAAAAGTATTTTAAAGAGATTTAAGATAGAAAATTGCATGCTCACAGATACACCCATTTGTAAAGGCTAGAAATTATCAAAGAAAATATGTCCATTAAATGATAATGACAAAGCTGAAATGTAAAGAATTCCATATGCTCAAGCGGTAAGATACATAAATTATGCTATGTTGTATACAAGACCTGATTTGAGTCACGCATAAAGTCTTGTAAGTCGATTTTAGAGTAATCCTAGGGTACCTCATTGGCAAGCCATAAAAAAGATACTCAGATATATTCAGAAAACTAAAAATTACAAGTTGTGCTTCCAAGCTGACAACTTAGAGGTTACTGGGTACTCTGATGCAGACTTTGCAGGAGACATAGATGATAGAAAATCAACCTCACGATTTGTATTCCTCTTTGGAGGTGGATGTATTTCTTGGTCTAGCAAGAAACAAAGTTGTATAGCTTGGTATAATATGGAAGACGAGTATATTGCTTGTAGTATTGCTACAACTTATGTCGTCTAGATTAAACGCTTCATAAATTATTTGAAGCAGGATATTGCCGACGAACCTATTAAAATTTTTGTGATAATCAAGCTGTTATCTCATCAATTAGAAATGGATCTCATAGTTTCAAGGGTAAGCATATTGAAATTGATTATCATTATATTTATGATATTATTGAAAAGAATGAAATAACTGTAAGTTATTTGCCATCTTCAAATATGATTGCAGACCCTTTAAAAAAGTGATTAAGTTCAGAAATATTATCAAAGTATGTAGCTTAGATGGGACATGCTTTAATGGGACTTAGAAATATCTAAGTCAGGAACTCTCAAATGGAATATTTTTTACTTGAATTCTTGGTCATGGGAGGAAAAGTCGCATTAGCGTGAAAAACCCTATGAAATGATATTGGATATTTTTGTTATGAGATGT